ACGACGACGACGACGGCGACGGACCGACGACGACGTCCGACGACGACGACGACGACGACGACGACGACGACGACTACCGAGAGGAGCCACATACAGGAGGACCCCGAAGGAGGAGAGGAGAAGAGGAGATGAGAAGGAGGAGGAGGAGGAAGGAGGAGGACGATGACCGGACCGACGACGACGACGACGACGACGACGAGCCCGGCCCCCGACCGATCCAGTCGCCAGGCGTCGGCGCCCACCGCTTTCCCGCCGCTCCCGCTGGGGCTGGACGGGCAGTGCAGGTGGCCGGCCCCCTCGCAGCAGGCCGTGCAGCAGGCGAGCCGCTTGCCGGCGGCGATGGCGACTGCGGCGCTGGTGGCGACGACGGGCGGCGTCGAGGACAGTGGCAAAGACGTCGACCACGGCGTCGACGAACGCCCCCTCCTCCTCCTCCTCCTCCTCCTCCTCCTCCTCCTCCTCCTCCTCCTCCTTCTCCTCCTAGCCAGGACCCCAGGTAAAGGGACCTTGTTAGTAGTAGGGCCCCGGAGCGTAAATGGGCCAGAACCACTAAAGCAGGTCTGCCGTAGCTGGCGTTTTTCCCCACATGTTTCGTGGGGTTCTGGTTTTCTTCCCTGCCGCGGCGCACTCGCGTCTCCTCACCTCCCCTCCTCTCTCCTCCTTCCTCTCCTCGCCCGCGCTCAACGCATGCACGGCAAGTACATGAGACACGCGTCTACATACAGCCGCACGCATGCACACACTCGCACAAAACACACACACACACACACACCATACAACGCTAGTGCGCGCCTGGCATGTTCACTGCAGCGTCCATTGAGGCGTGTGCGCCACATAGTGGGCACACACATGAGACACGTCCCGATATGGCCGCACACGCATCATACACATACACAGAACATGCCATATATACAAGACGTGCGTGTAGGATTCGCAGGGGATGGCAGGAGGGGGGTGCGCAGGGGGTGGTCCCTGAGCGCGGTCGTTATGCACGACCGTCGTCCAGGCACAGCAGGCGTGGCACTTTCTCGACACCAGAGCGGGTGTGCAGGGAGGGGGTCCCTGAACTCGGCCGCTATGCACGACGGTCGTCCAAGCATAGCAGGCTTGGCATTTTCTCGACACCACAGGGGGTGCGCAGGGGGTGGTCCCTGAGCGCGGCCGCTATGCACGACGGTCGTCCAGCCACAGCAGGCGTGGCACTTTCTCGATACCATAGGGGGTGCGCAGGGGGTGGTCCCTGAGCGCGGCCGCTATGCACGACGGTCGTCCAAGCATAGCAGGCGTGGCACTTTCTCGGCACCACAGGGGGTGCGAGGGGGTGGTCCCTGAGCTCGGCTGCTATGCACGACGGTCGAGGCTGCGGCGGGCACTGTCTCGACAGAGGGGGCCTGATGGCCAGGCAGCAGGGCTTTGCATTTTCTCGACCACCACAGGGGGTGCGCAGGGGGTGGTCCCTGAGCGCGGCCGCTATGCACGACGGTCGTCCAGCCACAGCAGGCGTGGCACTTTCTCGATACCAGAGGGGGTGCGCAGGGGGTGGTCCCTGAGCTCGGCCGCTATGCACGACGGTCGTCCAAGCATAGCAGGCGTGGCACTTTCTGGACACCACAGGGGGTGCGCAGGGGGTGGTCCCTGAGCTCGGCCGCTATGCACGACGGTCGTCCAGGCACAGCAGGCGTGGCACTGTCTCGACACCAGAGGGGGTGCGCAGGAGGTGGTGCGTGAGCGCGGCCGCTACGCACGACGGTCGTCCAGGCATAGCAGGCGTGGCACTTTCTCGACACCATAGGGGGTTAGCAGGGGATGGTCCCTGAGTACGGCTGCTATGCACGACGGTCGTCCAGGCATAGCAGGCGTGGCACTGTCTCGACACCACAGGGTGTGCGCAGGGGGTGGTCCCTGAGCTCGGCTGCTGTGCACGACGGTCGTTCAGGCATAGCATGCGTGGCACTTTCTCGACACCAGAGGGGGTGCGCAGGGGTTGGTCCCTGAGCTCGGCCGCTATGCACGACGGTCGTCCAGCCACAGCATGCGTGGCACAGGTGAGATTCACCGTCAAGGTGTCCAAGCGCAAGAGCTTGATCCAGGAGCAGAAGGCCACCATCGTGAGCTTCGTGTTCGAAAGCAACGACCAGGACATGTACGGCGACTGCGCTCCGGGAGAGATCTTCCACCCGCGCTGTCTGCCTGCCGGAATCTGGATGCAGGTGCACAACTTCGAGAAGCAGAGCCCGGATGTGGTGGAAGCCCTCGTCAACTCCTTCGGAATCCACAAAGAGAAGGCGAACGGCCTGTTCTGCTTCCCGCTCATGGAGGCGCACTTCAAGTGGCAGAGCGCCAACATTGTGCACCGGGTCAAGAGGTTCGGGTACGCGCTCACGCACGGGCGGTTCCTGACGTCCACCGCGTCACAGGGCCAGACGATCCGCACCGGAGTGACCATCGACTGCGCGCAGGACACGAGCATTGGCAGACCAGAGGAGAGAGCGGAGAACTGGTGGCTGCACCTGTACGTGATGCTCAGCAGAGCCACTTGCATGGACGATATGCTCTTGCTCCGGCCGCCGCCAAGGGAGGTCCTGCAGAAAGGCCCGCCTCCGTCCGTGCTCAAAGCCCTGCAGAAATTCGATGGGCGCATGGCCACGGAGACGCGGGAGATCGAGGCCCTCGCTCTGGAACGCCACTGGATCTTGCCAGCGGCGTGAGGTCGTGGTAGCGTTGCCGCTCAGAGATTTTCCATCGAAGGGCGCTCCGGAGACTTTACGTCGAAGGGGGCGCTTGCCGCTGCAAGGGCAGATGATGCAGGCGCACACGCTTTCATTTCTTTTTCTTGCACGCGCAGCTCGGAGATTTCCGTCGAAGAGATGACTAGGTCACCACAGCATGCGCGCTCTCCCGCTGGCTCTGCTGAGGGCGAGGAGCGCGGTTTAAAATCTGAACTCTCTCCAATCCCTTCCAAGCTCTTCTCCTCGCCCCCGCGCGATTATGGCCGCAGCGCCGCTGTTGTTGCTCAAGGCCAGCCGCCGCGACTGAGAGCTCCGCGCGCCGGAGCCCGATGATTGTGACATTCCCAGATTTGGCTCTCGACGCGAGGCGCCCGGCGCTCCTGACACAGAGGTTTCGGGAGGATCCTGGGCTCCAGAGACGTTGCGAGATCGATTCTGCGCTGCAGTTGCTTCACTCACTTCATCATGGAGAATATGGGGAAGCAGCTGCGAGGCTGCAGGGCGTGATGCAACCGCGGAATCCGGCGATCTTGGACGAAGCAATCATCCGCGCAGGTAACGCGCTGAGTAAGGAATGCTTTCCAGAAGTGCGTTTTTCAGTGCGCGCGAACTCGCTCGGGCAACTTGCGCATCAGGTCCCCGCGTGGGCAGATACATTTGGCGCATGCACCTTTGACGCCTACATGCTACTCCACAAATTTGCTCATGAGGTCTTGGTGCGAGCAGCAGAGGGTTCGGGGGGCTCTGATATTCTCCAGACTCTGCTCACTCCTGGGTTCTCTCATGTGTTCGTCAATTCCCAGATGGACTACGATCAGGACCCTCCCAGGTGCCGCCAGAACGCAATCGGCAGCGCATTTGTCGCAGTTTGCGAAAATTGTCGTTATGAGCAGAGTACGACAAGTACGACGACGATTCGCGACGAGGGTTTGGAACGCAGGATTGCGCATATATGATAATGACAAGCAAACACATAAGATCAACAATCAGTGTGTGGGGTTCCTCGGTAGCGTAATTCGGGTGACGGCATTTCCGGTTAGTGGAACTGGACGGGGGGGGCGATGAGAAGTGTTTAGAAGGCAAGTAGGAAGAGGACGCGAAGCAGGAGAGGCAGCAGAAACAGCAGTAACAGCAAGAGCACGGTTTCAACTAGGACGAAGAGAGAGGAGAGGACATAACAAATAGTAATGATGAGGGGAGAATTGAAGGAAGTGATGTTGATAATTACGGCATCCATGGGAGAGGGCAGGGAAGGAACACCAGCGGGCGCGGGGACCAGGAGTGCCAGATGTAACCACGGACGAAGCGCGCATGAGAGATCGAGCACGGCCACGGGTTAGTGTGCTTGCCCCGGCGGAGCCGGCGCAAGCGCTAGCAAAACGCTGTGGCATGCAGGGGGTGCCTACCTCTCCCTCATCCCCCCATCTCCCTCCTTTGCCCCCACCTCCCCACTCCTCCTTCCCACTGCGCCCCCTCCCCCCCTTCCTCCTCCACCTCCATCTTTTTCTCAGAAAGACAACCCCCTCTGTCGCACTCCCAGGCGTGTCGGTAGGATGGGCCAGGCATTCCGCCTAAGACTCCCCCACCATGCATGACCTTGAAATTTGAAATCTGCAACGGCTTCACAGAAGATGCGCGGGTGGTTTTCAATATGTCGTTCTCGCCTTAACGTTGCGCGCGTTCGCTTTAAAACTTCGCAACAGCTTCGAGGACGAATGTCGGGCCGTTTTCAACATGCTCGCCTTAGCGCCGCGCACACATGTGTTTTAAACTTTGCAGCAGTCGCAAGAATGGAGGGTGGATCCTTTTCAAAATGTGGCTCTCGCCTTAGCGCCGCGCAACTTCGTTGGAAACATGTGCACTCTTGTCGCGGATTCGTATGGTTGAAGTCCCAGGAATGGCGTTTGGGTGCGATTTGTAGCTGTCAGGACGAAGCAGTCACGTTAATCCGCAGCGTCGAAGTCTAAGGAATGGTGTTCCGGCACGATTCAGCACTGTCAGGACGCAGCGGTCACGTTGATCATCTAGAAACGATGCCCGATGAGAAGGGAGGAGGAGGAGGGGGAGGAGGATAGAGGAGGAACCCGATGAGAGGGAAGGAAGAGGACAAGGAGGAGGGGGAGGTGTAGGAGGAGGAGGAGGAGGAGGTGGAGGAGGAGGAGGAGGGGGGAGGGGGAGGGGGAGAAGGGAGGAGGGAGGAGAAACAGGAATAGGCGGATGAGGAAGAGGAGAATGAGGAGGAGGAGGTGGAGGAGGAGGAGGGCGAACAGAAAAACCACAGACCTCTTGAATGCCTTTCGGAGTCTCTTCGGATGTTTCTTGAAAGCTTTTTGGGAGTCCTCTTGGGGTTTCTTGGAACCTCTTCGCGATTCTGGAAGCCGCTTGGAGCGTCCTGGATTCCTTGGGAGAGCTTCTTGGGAGCCTCTTGGAGACCGCTTGGGGGCCTCTTGGGGCCTCCTGGTCGCCTCTTGGGGCAATGTTGACATACTCCTGGAAGCTTTGGAAGCCAGCTTGGGGCCATGTCGAAGGAGTTCGATCAAAGAAGGGGGGATACTCAATTAGCCTCGCCCCCTCAGGAGGCCAAAGTTGGCCCCAAACCTAAGGAACATCAATGGGTTGTGCCTTCTAGCCGATGCCTTGTTGGACGCTCCATCTACTCGCGGGGCGCCCCGTCCAGGTTCAGGGTAGGGGGTAGGGGGAGGGATCAAGACAACCTCCCCGCCCGCACGCTTTATCGCTCACTCCCACCCGCCCTCCCAACACATAAGTAGCACCCAGGCATGCGTGTTCAGCGGTCGTATTCGGATGGGCCGCTACTGGGAACCAAAACAGACCCCGTGTAGCCGACGGTGCGAGCTGCGCCACGCGTGCCAGGCGCGCCAGGTGCGTCAGGCACCCCTTGGGCCCAAGAGTGCCAGGCGCGCCTGGCGCGCCAGGTGCGCCACGTGCTCCACGTGCACCATGTGTGCCGCATGCTCTAGCCGTGCCAGGTACTCCACGTTCGGGGCGCGCGCAGAGTGTGCCAGGCGCGCTCGCGCACGTGACAGCACGCATCGGGAAGCACGTCGGCCCCCACCATCCATGTCGAAAACCAATGTGCAATCGCAGCGGGGAGGCCATCCTGGTGTCTGGTGAGCCTTCACATTACAATGCGCCAGCACCCACCCCCGCCGCCCTCATCACTAACCAATGGACAGTGATCACGGGTTGGCCGCGCATGAACCATATTTAGCCGCTGAGTGCATGTTGTACCGTTCGTTGACAGAAGTGGTGGCCATGCGCGCAGCAGGCAATATGAGGCCCCCCCGCCGCCCCTCCCCTGTCCAACAAAAACACCCGAGACGTGCCCAACCCCTTCTCTCAGCGATGCGAATGTTTGTCTGTATGCTCCATACAAAAGAGCACATCGCCAGATACGGACGACCGGCGCTGCCTCCATCTCCGCCGGGCCAGGAGCCTGCGAAAGTGGCGACGGTTGCGCAGCTCGCAGCATCCCAGGGGGCAGCGAGGTCCCAAATGGGTCCGCGTGGTCCCCCGACTCCGCGGGACCTCCCAGGAGCCCACGAAAGTGGCGACAGTTGCGCAGTTCGCAGTCGCCCAAGGAGCAGCGAGGTCCCGTCTGGGTGCGCGTGGCCCCCGACTCCGCTGGACTCTCCAGGAGCCCACGAACACGGCGACAGTTGCCAGTTCGCAGACGCCCAGGAGCGAGGTCTCGTCTGGACGCGCGTGCCCCCCGACTCGGCGGGACCTCCCAGGAGCCCACGACAAGTGGCGACAGTTGCGCAGTTCGCGGCCCCCAAGGGGGCTGCGAGGTCTCGTCTGGGTGCGCGTGGCCCCCGACTCCGCTGGACCTCACAGGGGCCCACGAACACGGCGACTGTTGCGCAGATCGCAGCCACCCAGGGAGCAGCGAGGCCTCGCCTGGGTGCGCGTACTCCCCCACTCCGCTGGGCTTCCCAGAAGCCCACGAAAGCGGCGACAGCTGCGCAGAACTCAGTCCCCCAGGCGGCAGCGAGGTTTCGTTTGGGTGCGCGTGCCCCCCGACTCCGCTGGAGCTCCCAGGGGCCCACGACAAGTGGCGACAGTTGCACAGTTTGCGGCCCAGGGAGCTGCGGGGTCTCGTCTGGGTGCGCGTACTCCCCTACTCCGCCGTGCCTCGCAGGAGCCCACGAAAGTGGCGACAGTTGCGCAGTTCGCAGTCCCCCAGGGAGGTGCGAGGTCTCGGCTGGGTGCACGTACTCCCCTACTCCGCCGTGCCTCGCAGGAGCCCACGAAAGTGGCGACAGCTGCGCAGAACTCAGTCCCCCAGGGGGCAGCGAGGTTTCGTTTGGGTGCGCGTACTCCCTTACTCCGCCGTGCCTCCCAGGAGCCCACGAAAGTAACAGAAGTTGCGCAGTTCGCAGCCCCCAAGGGAGCTGCGAGGCCTGTGCTGGGTGCGCGTATTCCCCTAACCCGTCGTGCCTCCCAGGAGCCCCACGAAGGTGGCGACAGTTGCGCAGTTCGCAGCCCCCAGGGAGCTGCGAGGTTTCAGCTGGGTGCAGCGCAGGAGGAGGCAGGAGGAGGAGGGAGGCGGGAGAGGAGGGGGGGATCACAGTGCTCCAGTCAAAACGAGAATCCAACGCAGAAGGGATGATAATAAACCAAGTAGTCGCGTGAGTGTTGTTCTTCGATGTTCAGGTTCCCCTCCGCCTGCCCCCTGCCTCCTTTGCCCTTCTCCCTTCCCTCTTCCCTCCTCTTCTGTGAATCGCCGGGGCAGGGAGTTTTATTATGCTAATTGTTCATCATGAGCTCTATAGGGGTGGGTGAGTTGTGAAAGCCCGAATGCTGGCCCAGCTCCCCTGCCCGCCTGCCCGCGGGGTGGTGTCGTCGTCCCCCCCCCTCCTCCGCCGTCCTGCGTCGCTCCTCTGCCTGCTCTCTCTCTCTCCTGCTCGTCCCCGGGCTGTCGCCCGGTCGTCGCCCTCCTCCCCTCCTCGCGTCTGTCGTTCCTTGTCGCTCGCTCTCCTACCTCCCCTGGCTCCGAGCTTGTCCTGGACCTCGGGTGTCGTACCCTCCTCTGCCCCAGCCGGTGTTGCTCTCCCGGGTCGTCCACCTTGCTGACTTTTTGGTGGTGAGTGGGTGGTGCAGGATGCCATGGAGTGATGTCGTGGTTTGCACGGCGCGTCGCTATTTCATAGCCCCGCCACCGGCAGTGGCTCTTGTTTCACCGTTTTGGCAATGCACCTTTGACGTGCACGGCTTCTCTCTCTCTCTCTCTCTCGCGGAGCCCACGAGCATGGCCCAAGATCTTGTCCCACTGTGTATTGCGCATTGGTTTTCGACAGGCATGGCTTGTGGGGGGGGTCTTTGGTTCGGGGTGCCTGCCAGCCGCGTGGGAAAGGGAGCGGTTCTCGAGGAGGAGGAGGAGGAGAAGGAGGAGGAGGAGGAGGAGGAGGAGGAGGAGGAGGAGGGGGAGGAGGAGGAGGAGGAGGAGGAGAGGAGGAGGAGGAGGAGGAGGAGGAGTAGGAGGAGAGGAGGAGGAGGAGGAGGAGGACGAGGAGGAGGAGGAGTTGGAGGAGGAGGAGGAGGAGGAGGAGGAGGAGGAGTTGGAGGACGAGGAGGAGGAGGAGGAGGAGGAGGAGGAGGAGGAGGAGGAGGAGGAGGGAGCAGCGATGAGGACCCCCCCCCTCACGCGAGGGAACAGGCCGCCTCGCTCGCGCCCACCCCGCCCAAAGCCCGAGCACACACGAGAGCAGCACCCGAGGCAGCTCCCCCGGCACAGGAGCCACTCTGCGGCGGCCTCGGGGCGCCCGCACGCGCTCGCAGGAGCCCCTATCGAGAGGCCGGCTGCCGGATTGCACTCTCGGGAGAAACACAGACAGAATGAATCGTCGACTCCCCCGGAAAGTAAGGGAAGGTATGGGAAGTGGGGGGAAGACGAGATCCCCAAGAATATGGGAAGATATGGGGACCCCTCGAGAGGCAGACTGCCTGGTGCACTTTCGGGAGGGGCAAAAAAAAACACAGACAGAATGAATCACCGGCTCCCTCGGAAAGGAAGGGAAGATATGGGAAGTGGGGGGGAAGACGAGATCCCCAGGAATATGGGAAGATATGGGGACCCCTCGAGAGGCAGACTGCCTGGTGCACTTTCGGGAGGGGCGAAAGACACACAGACAGAATCCATCGTCGATCCCCCCCAAAAAAACACAGGCAGAATGGATCGTCGACCCCGGAAAACAATAGGGGAGCAAAAGTGACACAAGCATAAAAACTCTGAGATCCGCACGGATGTCTCGGATCGGCGCTGGACCCCCTCCCTGGCGCGCGGAGCGCGCCAGGGGCGGCGCCGGAGGCGCTGCCGGGGGGCCCCAGCGGCGATCCGAGAAATTCGCGCGGACCTCCGAGTTGTTATGTGTATGTCCCGTTTTGTTCATAAGGGAAAATATGGGAAGTGGGGGGGGAGACGACATCCCCAAGAATATGGGAAAATATGGGGAATAGTTTTATTCGTGTGTATTGATTTGTGTGTCCTGGGGCCCCTTCAGCACTGCAAGTTGGCATCGATGGCTGGTCTGCGCGCAGCAAGCAATCTCAGGGCACCCCCGCCGGTCCTGTCAAAGACCACGCCAAGTCGCAGGGCGCCCGCTCATGCGCCAGATTTGGAGGCAAAGTGTGCTTCGTAGAGTTTTTGGCAGGGGTGACTGGCCTGCGCGCAGCAAACAATATGAGGCCCCCCCACGCCGTCCCTTTCAAAATCAGCTGTACAGAGGTCGCGGGGCGCCCGCGGATGCTGCAGATTTGGAGGCACAGTGTATGGTCTATGTTTTTTGATGGGGATGATGGGGGGGTGTTGGCATGGGTCTAGGTTGGCTGCCGGTCGGGTGAAGGAGGGGGCGTTTGTCAATTGGGAGCAGTGGTAAGCCCCTCCCCGTGGGGGAAGCAGGGAGATGGAAGAGTAAACGAGGAAACGCCCCATACCACATTCCCCCCAGAGGGCTGGTGGGTTGCTTGTAGGGGCCTCTGACGAGGAAACTAACTTGGAGGGAGGGTGCATTGCAACACCGCTGACGCGTATTGGGTTTGCACTGGTCTTCGCCATCATCCTTCTCCTCTTGCTCTCTCGGTTCCTGAGGCCCCCCTGGAGCCCTCAAGTACCGTGTCAAACCTCGAGCCTCCTCCCTCCTGGCCCCCTCCTCCCCCTGCTGGTCCTCCTCCCCCTCCCCCAGAGATTTCTGGAGCCCCCAGGAGCGCCAAAAACGCCAACCACCTTCGGTCCTGGATCCTCCCCTCCCCCTTCCCCCTTCCACCCCCCCCCCCCCCCCTCGAGAGAGAGAGAGAGAGGCGCCGTGGGGACCTCGGGACCCCAGGGCCACTCGCGGAGCTGCCCCACCCGGGAGCGCCGCCGCAAGGCGATGGCGTGCCTGCCGCAGCTCGACGAGGCCTCCCGCGCGCAGCTGGCGAGCCTCCACCCGCAGTACGCCATGGCGACCCCCGCGCCCCGCCCTCTGCCTCCACGGAGGTCTGTGCGCACGCCGGCGCGAGCGCAGCGCCGTGCGGGCCTCCGGGCTGCCCTCGCGACGCTTGGGCCCCCGCACTTCGGCGGTGGCCCTTCGGTGCCTGCTGGTAGGGCCACGCTTCGGGTGACAAGGTGGTTTTGGGAGGGATGGGTGCCTTTCGGTTTTCGGTTGGTTTCGCTTCATATATATATATATATATATATATATATCGGAGGTGAGGGGGTGAGATCGAAGTGGAACGGAGAGCCCCCCTACCGGGAAATCGATTTCGGTTTCGTGTTCGTGCGTGCCGTGCGGGCGAGGCGAAGCTGCGTGGGCGGGCGAGAGAAAGTCTCCTGTGGCTGAGGCGCGGCCGGACCAAATGATCTCCCTTCCGGGCGGCCGGGGCCCGCGGTGTCCCGCCGGTGTCCCGCTGGTGTCCCGTGTGGCTGAGGCGCGGCCGGACCAAATGATTCCCTTCCGGCGGCCGGGGCCCCGCGGTGTCCCGCCGGTGTCCCGCCGGTGTCCCGTCCGTGTCCCGTCGGTGTCCCGATGATGATGTTGATGATGATTATGATGATGATTCTGATGATGATGATGATGATGATGTGATAATGATGATGATGTTGATGATGGCGATGATGATGATGATGATGATGATGATGATGATGATGATGATGATGATGATGATGATGATGATGATGATGATGTTGATGATGATGACGTCGATTGCGAGATCGATTGTGATATCGGTAGTGAGACCGAATGTGAGATCGATAATGAAATTGGTAGTGAGTTTGATAGTGAGATCGATAGTCATATCGAATGTGAGATCGATTGTGAGATTGATTGTGATATCGATTGTGAGATCAATAGCGAGACCGAATGTGAGATCGATTGTGAGATCGATTGTGAAATCGATAGTCAGATCGATTGTGAGATCGATCGGTCGAGGTCGATTGTGAGATCGGTAGTGAGTTCGATAGTGAGATCGATCGAGTGCGACGTTGCCCCCCCCCCCTCGCCTCCTTATCACCCGAAGGGTGGTCGTATAGGTATATATATATATATGTATCACTGTCTCTCTCTCTCTCTTTCTTTCTCTCTCTCTCTCTCTTTTTCTTTCTTTCTTTCTCTCTCTCTCTCTCTCTCTCTCTGTATATATATATATATCCATAAGGGCTTCGCCCCCTGCCGCCGGCCCCCTCTCTCGGATAATGGGAGATGCAAAAGCTAAATCATGAGGTCTGGGCGCCGCCTTGAAGCAGTGTCGGGGCCTGTTTGTTTTTCGACCCTGACCCTACAGATCTGCGTGAGGGATGCCGCCGAATTTCAGAAATGTGGCAAATCCCCTGTGCTTTTGGACCCTGACCCTACGGATCTGCGTGAGGGGCGCCGCCGAATTTCAGAAATGTGGCAACTCCTTTGTGCTTTTGGACACTGACCCTGCTGATCTGCGTGAAGGGTGCCGCCGAATTTCAAAACTTTTGCAAATCCCCTATGCTTTTGGACCCTGACCCTGCCGATCTGTGTGAAGGGTGCCGCTGAATGACGGAAATGTGGCAACTCCTGTGTGTTTTTGCACCCTGACGCTGCCGATTTGCGTGAGGGGTGCCACCGGATTTCAGAAATATTTGTTTTTGCGCCCTGACCCCGCCGATCTGCGTGACAGGTGCCACCGAATGTCAGAAATGTAGCAAATCTTTCGTGTTTTTGCACCCTGACACTGCCGATCTGCGTGAGGGGTGCCACCGAATTTCCGAAATGTGGCAAATCCATTGTGCTTTTGCACCCTGACTCCGTCGATCTGCGTGAGGGGTGCCACTGGATTTCAGAAATGTGGCAAATCCATTGTGTTTTTGGACCCTGACCCCGCCGATCTGCGTGAGGGGTGCCACCGAATTTCAGAAATGTGGCAAATCCCATGTGTTTTTTGGACACTGCGAACCTTAGCCCTACAGCCTGGTGGCCCCACAAGGGGACCGGCGGATATATGATGCACAAGTGTACATACGAGCACCTGATACATATACATCATAATTCGCAGGGCCCTCCTCACTAGTTCAATTGAGCGATCGCGCCCAATTGAAGTCATATGACCCGTATAAACGATACAGCTCTTTCAAGATCTTCCCACGCGTACCCTAATAGTCCGAGCTCGTCTTCATCGTCTAACGGTGCTAACTGTTCGACGACCTCTGGATAGCCGTTAACCCTGATAGCAAGTCTGATGATCAGTCCCTGGACAATGTTTGCACGAAGGGGTTCTTATTTTGGAAAGAGAGTCGGGAGCGGAAAAGAGGGGGGTGATGACTAGGGGGGGGGGGATTTCATGGCGCGGGCCATGGTTTGTCCTCAGATTTCATGGCGCTTCTTCTTATTGTATTACGTCCCAGGCCCCCCCGCTGGGCCGCGCACATGCCGCCGGTCATGATTTGCACCCCCCCCTCTTGGACACCCCCCTCTTGGCCGCTCCCGAGAGAGTTCTTTGTAGACGCTTGAGGGGTGCGGGGGGGGGTACAACTGCCCACCCTCCGAAATCCACGGCGGTCACACACCTCCCCACCCTCAAGCGGCGAGGAAGGGGGTTCCGAACACGACGTCCCTCCCCCCCCCTCCTTCCGGCCGGTTCCGCTGACCCCGAAGGGAGATCTCGGAGGCGGAAAAGAGGAGGGTGATGACTAGGGGGGGGGTATCATGGCGGGGGCCATGATATTTCCCCAGATTCCATGGCGCCTCTTCTTATTTCATTACGTCCCTGGCCCTCCCGCTGGGCCGCGCACATGCCGCCGGTCATGATTTGCACCCCCCCCTCTTGGACACCCCCCTCTTGGCCGCTCCCGAAGATCAGGAGGTTCTGGGAATGCCGCGAAGGAACAGAGAAGCACACGAAGGAAGGTCGACGATTATCCAGGAGCGGTGTCAGCAGCATCCCTCCACCATGCCTGGATCGTGGGCCAGAGCCTTGTCAAATACGTATAAGGGTCTACTGGGCTGCCCCTCGGATGCCTCTTGAAGGGCTCTTGGGGGCTTCCTGGGGCCTTCTTGGGAGTCTCTTGGGACCTCCTGGGGGCCTCTCGGGTGCGTTTGCGGGCCTATTGGGGGGGGCGGAGATCTCGAAATGCCAGTTCGGGTACCACCTCTTGGGCCTCTCCTGGGCCCGTGTGCCGCCTTGGGGCGTCGTGGGGCGATTATGGGGCCTCTTGAAGCGTCTTGACGCGTCGGAAAACCGAAAAGCCGAAACGCTTAAGTCCTTTAACGAGCCTACATAGATTTATATTTGCGCGTCTTGAGGCCCTGGTGAGGGTCCTCTTGGGGCCCTTTTGGGGGAGGAGTGGAAAGCAAGGGCGGGGGAAGGAAGGGCGGCGATGACAACGAGGGAGGAGGAGGGGGAGAAGGGAGGAGAGCAAGGTGGAGAAGGGAGAGAGCCCTCGTGCTACTCGGGAGGGGAGGGGAGGGGACACACACACACACACACCGGGGCACCCCACCTCACCCACCCACCCACCCCCATCCCCACCCACCCGAAGGGAAAGAGACAGAGTAGGGGCGTCCACAGTGTACGAGTTGAGCCGATGTCGTATGGGAGTTGCTAGATCATAGTATGGGATGAGCGGGTTTTGCTAGGGCTTCGCTCGACGAACCCCAGCCGTCCTCTCACAGGCGCCGACAGGGTCGACAAACTTCTGTTGAGCTGCCTCACTTTATGCTCAGCCACGGGACAACCACGACAGTACCTGGACAATCACGACACAATCGCATGGGACAGCTACACAGAACAACCGCGGGCCAATTTCGGAACATCCAGGTGCAACCACGGAAAAGATTCGAGACAGCCGCGGGACAGGTTTGCGAGCCGTTCGGCAGAGAGGGGGAAGCAGTATCATTGACCTGCCCCTAGCTGGAGCAGGATCTCTCTCTCTCTCGCTCCTCGCGAGGGATTCGCCTCGCCCGCACGCACGGCACGAACCGAGAGCGAAATCGATGTCTCTGTCGGGGGCCTCCATGTGATCTCGGTCTCCCCCGCAACCGCCGATATGGAATGGCGCCCGCGGCCTCAGCGCTGTTGCCGACCTTGCCCCGCATCATCAGCCCTCTTGCCGCCCAGACAAGTCAGGACCCCGTCGTGCCCTAGCTTCTGGGCCAGGGTGGGGACACCAACTCCGTGCCCACCTCACCGTGGTCCTGAGGTAACTTGCGGACCCGTAACCCAACAAGGCTATCGTGCTTGCCTCATGGCCCCAGCCGTTATCCATGGTGCTTCTGCCCGTGGAGCACGTGCGTGCGCGTTAAGTCGATGCGCGTTCGAGAAAGTTGGTTTTGCTACGCACGTGCCTCTTCACACGATGTGCGCCAAGTGCGATCCCGGTGCGTTCTGCCTCCTTTCGGTCTGTGTGAATGGTTCGTTCCGTAGTCGCATCGGATCAGGGAACCAGTCGGTGGCGATCTTCGCAGTCGCCTCACCGTGAAGGCTGCCGTGCCTGACCATGGCGCCGCGCAGCAGAAGCTGCGGGCGGATGGTGCTGCGGCTGTTTGCCTGCGTGGGCGCGCTGCCTTTGCTGGGGCTTGTGGCGCCGCGGCCAGCCCGAGGGCACAGCTGCGGGCTGGCCAGCGCCTTCTACTGCCGCGAGCCTGCGGCAGCCCCACGTGGAGCCATCCGGCCACTGCCCCCCGTGGGCTCGTGCCGATGCGGGTGGGGCGCCACACCGGGCTTCGGCCGGGCGCCTGCCGTCTTCGCGAGAGCCGAGGGGCCTTCCATGGTGGGAGCGATCGGCGACGCATTCAATCAGGCGGCGGAAGGCCTGGGCATTACTGACTTGGGCCTGATCGAGGAAGGCGAGCAGTGGAGGGCGCTGACCAAGATCAAGATCCGGACCTCCCCGAGCATCACCGCCGCTCAGCTGGACGACAAATTGTTGACGCTTCGCGGATCCCCACCAGCCCATCCAGAAACGATGCCCAGAGGAATTGCCTCGATCAGGGAAGTGGGCAGCACACAGAGGAAGCCATCATGAGACATCTTGGGATATCTTGAGCCATCTTGGAGGTCATCTTGGGCTCTTCCAGACGCTCTTCGAGTCATCTTAATCAGTGCCCCCCAAGAGGCCAACATGTGGCTAAAACTTTCGTAAAATCAATGATTTGGCATTCTCGCCGAGGCCTCTTGGAGCATCTTGGGTGCCTCTGGGGGGTCTCTTGGGGCCTCTTGGGGGTCTCTTGGGAGCCTCTTGGGGGCATCCTGGGGGCCTCTTGGGGCTTTCTGGCCACCTCTTGGGGCCCTCTTGGGGCACCCTTGGGAGCCTTGGGAGCCATCTTTGGGCCATCTTAGGTGAGATCGATCACAGGAGGGGTGTCCAATTGGCGTCCCCCCCCAGGAGGCCAAAATGGGGCCCAAACACGAGTAAAACCAATGATTTTGGCTTCCTCGCCGAGGCCGTTTTGGACGCTCCGACGACTCGCGAGGGGGTAGGGGGAGGCCGAAGGGGAAGAAGGAGGGGTGGAAGAGGAAACTCCCTAAACCACCTACGCCCAGAGGGCTGGTGGGATTCGTCCAGGAGGGCGAGGTCTTCGTGGTCGCCGAGAAGCTGCGCGCGAAGGTGCCCACAGAAGGGAGACACCGCCTATACCTGCGCATCGCGGGCTCGGAGGGCTGGGTGTTCGACACAGGTGCCGCGGGCAGCTGGTACGGGAAGGAGATCGCGACGCCAGTCTACGAGGACGAGGAGGACGATAGTCCCTTCGGCGCCATCGGCAGCATGTTCAGATGATGGGCAGGGGGTCCACGCGGCGCTTCAGCTCCTCCCCGACCTGGCTCGGTGCGCTCCGCGGTCTACGCCCTTCTGCTGCCTTCTCCTTTGTCGTCCCTCCCACTTTCTCATCCGTCCTTCCTCATCCCCTCCCACTCCTCACCCCTGTCCCCCCTCCCCAGCCTCCATCTCCCCTACATTCGATATGCCTCCCTCCTTTGTACAGACTGCTGAAACGTCCTTCTTCTCCACGGCATCCCCCCTCCCTCATCATCCTCCTCTTCCTCCTCGTCCTCCTCATCCTCCTCCTGATCCTACTCCTACTCGTTCTCATCATCATACTCATCGTCATCCTCAGCATCATCGTGAAAAACATGATCATCATCATGCTCATCATCATCAGCAGCAGCAACATCATCATCATCATCATCATCATCATCATCATCATCATAATCATCATCATCATCATCATCAGCAGCATCATCATCATCAGCATCATCATCATCAGCATCATCATCAGCAGCATCATCATCATCAGCATCATCATCTCCAACAACATCAGCAACATTATCAGCATCATCGTTATCATCAGCATCATCATCCGCAGCAGCATCATCATGATCAGCAGCATCATCAGCATCAGTATCAGCATCGTAAACATCATCATCACCATCATCACAATCATCAGCAACAGCAGCGGCAGCAGCATCATCGCCATCGTCATCATCAGCAGCAGCCTCATCATCATCATCATCAACATCATCATCACCAGCAGCACCCGTATCAGCATCATCATCGTCATCATCACCAGCGCATCATCATCATCATCAGCAGCAGCAGCAGCATCATCATCATCATCAGCGTCGTCATCGTCATCATCATCATCATCAACAACATCATAATCACAGTCATCGTCAGCAGCATCAGCGGCATCAGCATCGTCCTCCTCATCATAATCATCCCTCATCCCTCACCCCTCATTATCGTCCCTCTTCTCTAATTCACATCCTCATCATCCTCATCCTGCTGCTACTTCCTCCTCTTCCTCCTCGTTCGCCCTCTCCTCCTCCTCCTGCTCCTCCTCCTTTTCCTCATCCTCCGAGGACGGACTCCCGATTACCTTTCAGAACCCCGAACTCACCTCCCTGTCCCTTTCCTTGCAATCGCCACCTCCCTCTCTCCTCGCCTCCACCCCCCGTTCCCTATCCCTCGCCCTCCCCTTCCCCCCATCCTCTCCATCACTCGGCAGCGTTCCACCCCCTCACTTTCCCCCTTCGTTCCCCCTCCCCCCGCGGAGGAGACGAGGAGGAGGAGGAGGAGGAGGAGGAGGAGGAGGAGGAGGAGCCGAGCAGACCTCCTCCCTCGGGGCAGCGCAGTGGCTGGGCGGCCGCCGGCGCGGCGGCAGCCGAAGCCATCCGTGTACTCCTGGCGCGGGCACCGACTCCGCCGCGGTCTCGCCGACCCTCCGCGGGGGTCGGGGGCCGCTCCGTGCTCCACCTCCTCCTCTGGGAGGGCACCGACTCCACCTCCTCCTCTGGGAGGGCACCTCCTCTGTACTCCTGACGCGGGCACCGACTCCGTCGTGGTCTCGCCGACCCTCCGCGGGGGTCGGGGGCCGCTCCGTGCTCCACCTCCTCCTCCTCCTCTGGGAGGGGGGGAAGGAAGGGGGCGGCAGGCGGCAGAGCCATGGAGAGGAGCCATGCGGGAAGGGGACAGGATTAAGTCGGGCCTGTCCCCCTACAGGGGGGGGTTCGACAAAAAAAAAAGTACTCCAAAAACAGTCTGGGGATTATTTTTTGAGCATTATTTTACCCTTTGGGACTATTTTGGGGGTATTTTTGATTTTTCGTCGAAAAGCCCCCTGCATGGGGGACACGCCCGACATAAGGACAGGAGGGGAGACGGAAGGGAGAAGCAGCAGCAGCAGCAGCAGCGCCGATCACGAATCAGCCAGCCCCCCCTTCATCGTTTTGACACAGCGCGGTTTCCTGCCAGCCCACTTCCAAAAATCGTGACACGCGCGAGATCGTTGCGCGCACTGTTGGCTGGGCGCTTGCCGAAGATAGTGCCAGAGAGCTGCAACTTTGCAAGCGTTTGCGTCTGGCTCCACAGTACTGGCTCATGGTGTGCTGGCCCAGACTTCTTGGGCAAATATCTATACGGGCTTCGTCATCTGCTCCGGCCCCCTCTCTAGCATACTAGGAAATATCAGAACTATGTTGGGTTGTCTGGGCGCCGCCTGGAAGACATCTGCGAGTATCATGCGAGGACAGATAGAGATCATCAAAGCATATTGATCTGCTGGAGTTCGTCAACGCTGCGCTACCTTATTAGAGCGCCCCCCTCGTTTTATGCATGAGAAGCCCTCTCGGTACGATTGGCGGTTGCTTGAAGCCATCTTGGGCCCGATCCCGTGGTTGGAGTGGTTTTCTGCTTCCTTGTATCCATCCCCATGTTCGAGGATTCGTGGCTGCGGGCCCACCGCCAAACTTTCAAGAAACTACGGGGGGGGGTCAAAAGCGACCATCGAACACATACCCTAAAACCGAACAATTATGTTTTCTCTGCTCTGAAGAAGGCGTGGCGCGTTTGGGCAGACTCCGCGAGGTGGGTTCGTGGCTTCGGGGCGCGAACGTGGCGCATTTCATGGAGGATCGTGGCCTCGGGGGCGCGAATGTGGCATATTTCACAAATGATCGTGGCGCTGGGAGCGCGGGATCGTGGCCTGAGGGGCGCGAACGTGGTGTATTTTACGAGGGGTCGTTGCGTCGGCGGTACGATCGCCGTATATTCGACGACGGGTCGTGACCTTGGAGCGCGCGATTGTCGTATATTCGACGATGGGTCGTGACCTTGGGTCGTGGCCTCGGATGCTCGAACGCGTTGTATTTTACAAGAGGTCTTGGCCTCCGGGGCGCGAGCGTGGCGTAATTTACTCAGGATCGTGGCCTTGGGGGCGCGATTGTGTTGTAATTTACTATGGATTGCGGCCTTGGGGGCGCGAGCGTGAAGTAATTCATTCAGAATCGTGGCCTCGGGGGGCGCGAATGCGGCATAATGCACGAAGGACCATAGCCTTGGGGGCGCGAATGCAGCGTACTTTGCGAGATCGTAGCCTCGGGGGGGCGAGCATTATGTAAATTACCAAAGATCGTGGCCTCGGGGGCGCGAACGTGTTGCAAATTACATCGGATCGTGAGTTCGGGGGCGCGAACGCGGTGTAATTTGCCAGGGGTCGCAGCCTCAGAGGCACGAGCGCAGCGTAATTTGCAAGAGATCGCGCCACCGGGGGCGCGAATCTTATAGAACTTACAAGGGATTGCTGTTTCGTGGCGCGAATATCAAATATTTTTACGCGTGCCGCGGCCCCGCGGGCATTCAGACAACGCGTTTCGAGTGTGGTGAAAATGACCTTTTGGGGTGACCCCTCCTCGCGTGGACTTCAGCAAGTAACAGCAGGAGGTAAAACCTTAAGACTGTGACATGGGAGGCTTGGAAGCTGGAGCTGGAGCAGGGAGCAGCAAGCCCAACCCGCGCAGCCTGTGATGGCCGCGCAAGGGAGCCAGCGAATCTTCTCGATCGCAGCCCCGACCGTGACGCACCACTCCCCATGCCCTGCCCCGCCCCGTGGTGGCTCCACTACCGATGCGGAGAGCGCCCCAGGATGGCTGGAGGAGACCGCAGGCAGACGAAGAGCCGAGCACCACCATCTCCTCCTCCTCCTCCTCCTCCTCCGACGACGACGACGACGACGACGACGACGACGACGATGACGGCGACGACCACCACCACCACGACCACGACCACGACCACGACCACGACGAGCACGACGAGCACGACGACCACGACGAGCACGACGAGCACAACGACCACGATGACCACGACGACGACGACGACGACGCCGACGACGACGACGGCGACGCCGACGCCGACGACGACATTGGGGAGCAAGGCCCACGCCCCGCGAGGCGATCCTGTGGGACCTGGACGCGCGCGGCGGGTGCGAGGCCCCCCCGCCTGCGGCGCGGCCCGCCGGCCCTGGGAGCCCCCGGCGGGGCCCCGGAAGCGCCGCCTCCTGCGGCAGGATTATAGCCCGGTGGCCTGCAGATCCCACGGGTTAGCGTGAAGGTCGGGGGCGGAAAAGAGGGGGGTGATGACTAGGGGGGGGGGGATATCATGGCGTGGGCCATGATATCTCCCCTGATTTCGTGGCGCCTCTTCTTATTTTATTACGTCCCTGGCCCCCCCGCTGGGCCGCGCACATGCCGCCGGTCATGATTTGCACCCCCCCCTCTTGGACACCCCCCTCTTGGCCGCTCCCGAAGGGGACGGGTCCTGGAGGAGGGGAATCCTGCGACCTGATCGCCGTTTTCGGGCCCCGAGGGGCCCCTCCACGGACCCTGGGGTTGTCGACCAACTATTCGGTTCGGGGTGAAGACCTTCTCATGGAGAAGCCCCAGGCTCTGGGACCCATTTGCCTCAGGACCCTTCTCATTCGTGGCGAGATCTCGCTGGACGGCCTGCGGCAGAGAACCAAGGCGTTGAATGCGATTTCCTGTTTTCAATTGTGCCTCCGTACAGACGGCTCCGGAGCGGGGCCCTCTCCAGAGGCAGACCTCCGCGGGACCTCCAGAGTCCCGAGACGTCAATGCTAGTTGCGGCAGGCGTGCTTCCCAACTTCTTGGCTTCCAGGGGCCTGGGGCCAGGCCCCAGGACCGTCAGCAAAAACGAAGATGAAAAGCCAGCCCTCGGAAAGGAGTCCAGGCCTCGAGGAGCCCACGTGCTGGAAACCATCACGACGCTCGGGGTCTGTGTTTGGCCGTCGACGGGGGCGCGGAGGGGCCCGAAGCATCTCGCGCTCCCGGCTCCCGCACGCAGCCGACAGAGAGATCCACTCCTGTGGAAGACCAGGGATTCCCAGGGGCCCCCGCGCACTTCTCGGGTCGGCGCCGGGCCTCTCGGTCCGACGGCCCAGGTCCCGGGGCCGCCCCCCGCCAGCGGAGCCACAGAGGAGGGAGGAGGGAGAAGGGAGGAGGAGGAGGAGGAGGAGGGAGGAGGAGGAGGAGGAGGAGGAGGAGGAGGAGGAGCAGGAGCAGGAGGAGGAGGAGGAGGAGGAGGCCAGCGGACCACGCCTGCTCCCCAGACCGCCGTTGGGGCCTCCAAGCCCCCCCCCCCCGCCAGTGGCCGAGGGCGGGCGCCCCGCTGCCGGTGCCCGTCCTCGGAGAGATAACCCTGACATGCAGTCGGGCGTGTCCCCCTGCAGGGGGATTTTTCGACGAAAAATAAAAAATATTTTAAAAATGGTCCCCAGACTATCTTTTTATGTTTTTTTTTGATATTTGGGGGGCATTTTTGGCTCGTCGAAGATCCCCCTGTAGGGGGACAGGCCCGACTTGAATATAACCCTGACATCCTGATGCCGTGCAGAGATCGTGGCGTGCGTCTGCGCCCCCGCTCGGGCCCCGGGGCCCTCACGGGAGCCAAAGGAGCTCGGCGCGCCCCGCGGGGGATGGGGCGGCGGGGGCGGCGATGCACCGAGCCCCCCTGGGCCGGCCAAGCGACGCGGTGTACGAGCTCCTCTCCCGGTGACAGACCCGCACACACTGGGCAGCCGCCCCTCCTCGTGCCCGCCTGCGGCGCTCCCCGGGCAGCCTCCCGGGGGCTGCTGGCCCTGCGTCTGCGCGCACTTTAGCGGCGAGCGCTGGCCCGGGCTGCTCGGGCGAGCCACGGCGAGCCCTCTCCGAGTCCTGGCCCCGCTTGGTTGCACGGGCTGTGACCTCTGCGATGCAATGTTTCCGTCGCATATCTGGCCCCATGGAGCTCTCAAGCCGTTCCCCACGACTGGCCATTGATCGTGAGTCAACGTTTGACGGACCAACGAACAACAAAACAAGAATGCGTGATTTTGTTGGGGCCGCCACAGGTCTGGGTGGTCCTATGGATCTTGGCAGAGGCAGGCGCTGAGAGGGGGGCGCGAGCGAATTGGCACTTCGGATTTCTCCCCTCCAGGGCTTGCCCAGGAAAGGGGGTCAGCAGAAGAGGCCGTGAAGAGGGGGTGTGGGCCGTGCCTTCGTCCGCCGCCGTATTCCTCTTACTCCTTGCCCGTCCTAATGTGTACACCTCATGGTTCGTTATCCTCATCATCAGCAGCAGCATCCTCAGCCTCATCATTAGCATCACCATCAGCAGCATCATCGTTATCATCATCATCATCAGCAGCATCAGCAGCATCAGCATCAGCATCAGCATAATCATCAGCATCATCATCATGATCGTCGTCATCATCATCAGCAGCATCAGCATCAGCATCATCGTTATCATCATCCTCATCAGCAGCATCAGCATCAGCATCAACATCATCATCATCATCATCAGCATCATCATCATCATCATCATAATCATCAGCATCACCATCAGCATCAGCATCAGCATCAGCATCAGCATCTATTCGTCTTCATCCTTCCGCCACCCTCCACCTTCTTCTCCCATCCCTACCTCCCTCCCTCCATAGCTCCTCCCTTGCTGAGGGAGGGGAAGGCAGGGGAGAAAGGGAGGAGGGAGAGAGGGAAGGAGGAAGGGAGTGAGGAAGGAGGGATGGAGCGAAGGGTAGGAAGGAGAGAGGAGGGGGGAGAGGGGGCTGGAGGGGGGAGAAAAGAAGGGAAGGGAGAATAGGGGAGAGAAAGGGAAAAGGGAGGTTGGTCGAGAGGGGGAGGAGACGGAGGGAGAAGAGGCGAGAGGGCGCTATGACTCTTCGATTTCCCCCTTCCCCCCTCTCGACCCCCTGATCCACCCCTCCTCGACAGGGAGGGGGGAGGAGAGGAGGAGGGAGGAGGGAGTTATGTTCGATTCCGCGCAGCCGTTGCAGGGTGGGGCCCGTCTCGCAGTCAAGAATAGTTAAGCGCGGTAACCGTGCGGACCCCAAACAGCGAGTTGGTGCAACACCAGTGATGCAATGCAAAACGATGTGCGTTGCATAGTTATAGAAAGCAGTGGGCAGCAAGACAACGCAACGCAATGCACAGCTTGAAGCGTAACCGATGACTACCGACAAATCCGCGCCAGTGCAAGCCACAGCATGAGTGGATACATGGCGCAACGTATGGCCATCAACACCCGCGCCAATTCAAGCCCAGTTCTTCACAAGAGAGGGAAGGATGTGCGGCGCAATGTAAAGCAATGCAGGTCAACGCAGCGCCCACAGCGCAACCTGTGGCACCAACAATGAGGGCCGTTCATGACGCAGCCCATGGCCGCAACCTATGGCAGCACCTCTTGGCGCAGTTTGTGGCACCGAAAGATCAGCGGCACGCGTGGCCCAACCCATGGTCGCAGCACACGGGCGCAGCCTACGGCACAGAAACTCAGCAGCCTTTGTGGCCCATTTAGTGCCGTGGGTGGTTTCCAAATTGTTCGGATTCTGCCTTCCGATCGTCTGCTGCTGGTGCTGCCGTTCCCGACTCATGCGCCGTCGTTGCTAGCAGTGTCAGCGACGCGGCGTCGACAGGCGCAGCAGAACGCAGGGTCTCCAGCTACGACAGGGCAGACAGCGTGTTCGGGATGTCTGTGCTCAGTGCCAAGACGGCGTCGGCGCTCCAAGGTCTCCAGGAGTTCCCCGATGTCCAAGACGCCTTGTGAGGCACGCGGAGAGAGTGAGACAGAGAGGCCCGTGGCCCCGCAAGTGGGCAACCTGTGGCACCCATAACGCTGCGCACGGCAGTGCTCTCGAGCCGAAGCTTGACCCATTCAGTGCCAGCATTGGTTTGGGTACTCCAGATTTCGTAATAAAGGGAGGGGGGTCTCATTTCGGGGGGGGGTCTCTTCCAGGCTATCTTGGAGGGCCTGGGGGGTCTGGGGACGATGTTTTGGAGGGTTCTCCCACGGGGGAGGTCTGAAATGGCTTGTCTTGGAGGGTCCAGACCCCCTCCCTTTTATTACGAAATCTGGAGTACGGATTCTTGCATGCAAGAGCTGCTCGAGACAAGCCTACTCTGCGCTTGGAGGCCTCCAGAGGACTCCTGCCAGTCAGTGGCCGAAAGTTGGGCGTGGCCGTGGCGGCCACGAGCAAGGATAGAAACGTGGGCACATTATGTGCACGAAGACCGGCTACCCCATAGATGTAAAGGCGAGGAGAAGGAGGAGGAGGAGGAGGAGGAGGAGGAGAAGGAGGAGGAGGAGGAGGTGTTGCAGGCTCTAGGGGGGCTTAGGGGTCGTGTTTGGGTTGGTCAGGATCATAGGCCCCATGACCACCACTGCTAGCGCAATGCCCCACCTCTCCTTTCCCTACCCTCCCCGACTCATCTAATGTTCCCCTCCTGATTCCCTAGGGGCTGACCCCAGCGGCCTCGCAGACCAGAGTGCAGCTTCTCTTGAGGCCAGGCGCAGCTCGCCTACGTCAGCGTGTCTTCGGCCATCTCTCCGTCGCCAGCGCACAGAGAGCGGCCAGCGCGTCACCCCCCGTTTCTCCCGCTCCCCGGCCCCTTCTCCCCCCCCCTCCCTTCTCGATGGCCCCGCCCTTTCCCCCTTCCCGTTCCCCCTCCCCGCAGCATTACCCATGCCCACGGGCCTAGCAGTATTCCCATGCTAAGTTGGCGGTCTGGGCCACGGCTGTGGAAGCAGGGCGGAGGATGCCAGTCAGACTTTGACTGGGACACACGATGAAGTTGTTGCGTTTCTGACAGGCGGCGCGTGGACAGATGGAGGACGCAATGGGTGGCGGCAGAGAAGACGTGGCGCGGAGGTCATCGGGGGACGTTGCGTTTGCTTAGCGCACCGTCGAGCCGCGCAGCCGGACTCTCGCGATGATGACCTTCACGCAGGCACTGGCACAGCAGCATTTGGGGCGCAGTTCCGAGACGAACGAGGCGGAGTGGAGACCTCCAACGTCGTGAGACAATCGATTCCTTTGTTTTTTGGCACTGCGTCTTCCTGTCCCCCCCTCGCGCGCGCGCGCATGACATTACGATGAGACGCGCCCCTCAGCCGGGCGAGATGACAGCCCTTCGATCGGTCGAAGGCGAGGCCCTCTGTTTGGAGCGCCCGCCGCGCGCCCGGAGGCCGTGGGAGACCTCGCCGCGTTCGTGCAGCGCGCCGCGCGCACGCTGCTCCAGAGCGGGCCCGCTGCCGCGGCGAGCCCCGGGGGGGAGCCACGCCGCCGTCAGCTCTCCGGGCGTCGCAACGAAAAAGCTTTCGGGGGCGGCAAAGAGGGGGGTGATGACTAGGGGGGGGTGGATATCATGGCGGGGGCCATGATACTTCCCAGATTTCATGGCGCCTCTTCTTATTTCATTACGTCCCTGGCCCCCCCGCTGGGCCGCGCACATGCCGCCGGTCATGATTTGCACCCCCCCCCCTCCTGGACACCCCCCTCTTTGCCGCTCCCGAAGCACGACGGGCGCTCTTCTCCAACACTTCGGCCTCTGGCGCTCGCGGCCGGCTGGATCCCCCCTCGCCACGCTCCTCCCAACGCGCCGTGCGAGAGGTCCAGGGACCCATTTCTCGGGGTCGCCATGAGGGAAATATGACATTGATGGAAAAGTGTCCCGTGATGCATTGGCCGCTCTCAGCCTCCAGGGGCCCTCTCCAGGCCCCAGAACTGTCCAAACCACTGCTTGTTCTAAATCAGTTGGTCCTGGGAGTGCTTTGGGGTCCAGGGTGGACCCTTCTCATTCATGCGAGGAGGAGAGGGAGAGAGAGAGAGAGAGAGGCGATGAGTCGGTCGGTCGCTCGGAGATCCGCTGGAGTGCCCGACATGCGAGCTTCAGCGCAGCATCACATGTAATGCCACAGCCCAACACGCCCTTACAGCGGGATCAGCCTGACCTCAGGCACGCGAAGCCGAGGAGAAGGACATTGAAAAGTCATCAACATCAAGAAGGATGCACACCAGGCTCCAGAGGCCAAAAAAGAAGCGATAGCCGTTCGTAAGACACTCCAGGCTCCAGAGGCCATTATAGCAAACGATACGCGTTCTCCCTCGGCTCAAGTACGGCGCCGGACAAACTTGCGGGGGAGTGAACCACGCGGGAATGGGATACCCAGGGGAAGAGAACAGAGGAGAGGACGAGGAGGAGGAAAATGAGAAGGAAGAGGAGGACATGGAGGAGGAGCAAAAGGAGGAGGAGGAAGAGGAGAACGAGAGGAGGAGGAGGAGGAGGAGGAGGAGGAGAAGGAGGAGGGGAGGGGCCAAGTACAACCTGCATTCCCCTTTCCCCTGGAGCAGGCACACCCAAGGCATTAGAAAAGGGGCCTCACCTCCACCTGTCCTGGAGATGATCGCCCGTGCATGTGCACCCCGGCCATCTGGCGGTACCCACATCCCCGTCGGCCTCCATTCGACGGGGGGTGCCCCAGCTTATCCCCGAGTCCTTGGCGGGGCCCAGCTATCCAATCAGGGAGGCGGATAGAGAGAGGGAGAGGTAGGAGGAGGAGGAGGAGGAGGAGGAGGACGAGGACGAGGACGAGGACGAGGACGAGGAGGAGAAGGAGGAGGAGGACGAGGACGAGGACGAGGAGGAGAAGGATGAGGAGAAGGAGGAGGAGGAGGAGGAGGAGAGGAGCAGGCAGCTTTCCTAGAGTGCTGCCCTCGCGGTCACACCCATGCGTGCGCGTCCCTGCTGTGCAGAGTGATGGGTCACAGCGCGCGCCCGCTCCTCAGCAGCTCCTTTCCTCCCAGGCCCCACACACACACACACACACACACACACACACACACACACACACACACACACACGCGCTTGCCATCCCACCACGGCGATTGACTACCAGGAAGCTGGGTACACATGACGCGGCCGACTCGCGCGAGAGATGGATACACACGTGGCCAGATGTCATTTCCAGCGCTCGGACCTTCTGCGGCCAGGCACGCTGGCCCTCCACGTGTCTATCCAGCACGTGGCCTCCAGATGTCCAGCACGTGAATCCAGCCATGTGTGCTTCCAGCTTCCTGGTACATTCTCGCCGGCGTGCATGGCATTAGCCGCGAGGAGGCGGTGATCACCTATGACATGGTCTGCCCTTGGGCCCTGAGTCAAACGCCCAACTCGGCGACTGGCAGGGCTGGACCTGCTCACAAACTACCCTCGATCTCCGCGCCCCAGGCTTGGGGCATTAAGAAGGAGGGGAGTAGGTCAAGGAGGAGGAGGCGGAGGAGGAGGAGGAGGAGGATGAGGCGGAGAAGGAGGACTTGGCGGAGTAAGAGGAGGAGGGGGAGGATTTCCTCTTCAATGCTGTTTTCGCGAAGCCGCTGGCAATGGTGGAGGACCGTCTGGCGCATCAAGGCCTTCATCTTGAGTTGGATTTCGCGGAGGATGAGGTCCCTGTTTGTCGGCGACAACATGGTGATAATGGCACGGTGGCTGACATCACCTTTGTAGATGACGCGTCGATCCCCACAGCTCTTGAGAATACTGCCGTCATAGAGCACCTCACAAAATCAATGGATATATTTCATGAGTGTATCGTTTCACAACTTACGAAGCCCAACTATGGCAGAGGGAAGACAGGAAATCTTGTTCAGGTTCGCGGTCGTTACAGAGATCATCTTCGTGCACAACTCTATACGGTGATGAACAAATGCAGCGCAAGAGCTCCAGGTTCGAGTTCGAATTTTACGTTGTTCGCCCTTTTAAGCACGGAGCCCTCAGCGATTGTTGCCGCGACGATGCCCACGTCATCTTGCAACGGGACCTGCCGGACTTCAATGCGAGCCTGCTCATATTCTTGCCGAGATCGGCCGCTGACAAGAACGAGGAAGGTGTGGAGGTGTTCGCCCAGGGAGGCGTGCGACCGCTGAACATCACGAACGCAGATAATAGACTTCTCGCCAACGCCGTGCGCCTGGCGATTGAGCCGTTCATTGAGAAGCGCACTACTCAATGCCAGCGGGGCTTCTTACCTGGCAGATCGATGCTCGCGAACATCTTGGACGTGGACGAGGCAATGATCTCGGGAGCCATGCGGGCGGAGGGGGCGCACGCTCTGTTCCTCGACTTCGCCGCGGCGTTCCCGTCGATTGAGCACGAGCTGCTCCACTCGTTCTTTTTGGGGTTCGGGTGGCCGGCGTGGCTCCGCAACTTTATCGGCAGTCTATATTGGCACAACCATTGCCAGATAGCGCTCGGTGGATCAGTGCACGCGGGCATGGAGATTACGAGGGGGATTTGACAGAGATGCCTACTATCTCCACTGCTGTTCGCGGTGGTGTCCGACCTCTACTTGCGCAGGCTTGCCCGGCTTTTTCCAGACGCCACGCCCCGAGCCTGGGCCGACGACTTGGCAATGGTGCTGCGGGGCGCGCTGCCGAGGCTCGCGGGCCTGGAGGCCTTCTACGCCGAGTTCGCCCGTATATTGGGGCTGCACATCAACGTCCCGAAGACAGTGCTGGTCCCTCTCGACCCGTTCATCGAGCTGGACTTCCGGAGAGAGCTCGTGGCGGCAGTGCCACGTTGGGGCAGCCTGGGCCTTTGCGGAACAGCGAAGTATCTGGGCTTCTATCTGGGACCAGATCGAGGACAGCGCACGTGGGACGTCCCTCTGGCCAAGTACGTCGAGCGGGCGCGTCTTTGGGGGCGAATCGGGGCTGGCGCCTTCCTCGCAGCACGGGCTTACAGCATCTACGTGTCATCGGTCCTTCTCTTCGTCGCCCAGCTCGACGAGTTGCCGCCGGGATTCGCAGCAGCGGAGCAGCGAGCCTGCGCGGCCATGTTTCCTGGCCCTCCGGGCTGTATGCCGGCCGAGTGCTTGAAGAGCTTCAAGACATCCACTTGACTTGGCAGTTGAAGGACGTGGCGGCAACAGCCATTGCCGCCAAGGCGCGGGTGGTCCGATTTGAAGACGGGGGGCGTCTGGACGTACATCGGCGCGCTGCGCGCATGGCAGCGATGACCAGTCAGGGGGATGACCATTCGCTAGGCCGCGAGGTCTGGCTGGTGCGATGGCGCTCGAGATGTTTCCTGCTCCAGCTCGCGGCGGCGGACCGCCAGGTGCAGGGCGAATTGGCGCAGCTGCCCCCCGACGCCGCGTGGTTGTCGACGCAAGCGGGCTGGCAGAGCTGGGTGGCCTCCATGTGTCAGGCGCAGGGCGACGCGGCAGCTCAGCTCCATTTGCGTCGCCGCCTGAACCGCTGGTCGCTCGCCACTTTACCTGGACACAGACTACACCGGGCGCTGAAGCGGCTGCAGCTCGTGGCCAGAGACTGCGCGCCACGGGTCACCGCAGCCTACTTGCGGGCCCTCTGCGCCGGATGGTGTCCAAGCCGCTGCTCCCATGGGCAACCGCCGTGTCTATTTAGGTGCGGCCACCGACCAGACGGGGTACAGCACTTCGCGTACTGCCCCGTGGTGCGTCGGCTCCTCACTTCCAGGGCTGGGCTAGCGCCGCCGCTGGCGGGGAGGGAGCTGGACCACTTCCTCGGCTTGGACTGGCCGGAGGCGGAGACAGCCGAGCGCGGCAGAGCTCTATACGGCTTATACAGGGTCCACAACTCTACGGCACGGACGCATCACCAACGAGCAGGTGGATGGCGCCTTCCAGGGTGCTCTCTGGGAAGCGACATCGACATCTGAGTAGTAGTTCTATTGATCAGCACGCCTCCTCTCCTGGCCTCACTCCCTTCCTCCTCCGTCCTCCCATCCCTCCTCCCTCCCCTCCTCGTTTGAATCTCCGGCCATTGCGTCCAGGCCGGCTAGATGGCGCCCCGCCCGTGCCGGAGCCACGAGGCCCGGCGAGGTAGTCCCTCCCCCCCTCCCCGTCCTCCGTCCTCCCTCCTCCTTCCCCCCTTCTCGTTTGAATCTCCGGCCATTGCGTCCAGGCCGGCTGGATGGCGCTCCGCGCGTGCCGGAGCCATGAGGCTCGGCGAGGTTGTCCCTCCTCCCTTCCCCGTCCTCTGTCCTCCGTCCTCCCCTCCCTCCTCCCTCCCCTCCTCGTTTGAATCTCCGGCCATTGCGTCCAGGCCGGCTGGGTGGCGCTCCGCGCGTGCCGGAACCATGAGGCTCGGCGAGGTAGTCTTTCCTCCCCTCCCCGTCCTCCGTCCTGCGTCCTCCTTCTCCATCCCCTCCTCGATTGAACTTCCGGCCATTGCTTCCAGGCCGTCGCGGTGGTGCAAGCTATCGTGTCCTCTATGTCCCGGCCGCGTGGCCGATGGACCCTGGGGCACGGTGCGCCGAGCAGCCGATTCGAGCTGCCTTCCCCCCTCGTCTCTTCCTCCCGCTCTCGCCTCCCAGAGGCGGAGCGCCGGCTAACCCTGCTGGGGTAGGCCGGCTCTCCGCCTCCTCTGCCTGTCTCCTCCTCGCTCAACCGCTGAATTGGCGTTCGCGCCGGCTGCACGCGGAGGGGGCTGATGCTGGGCCACCCGGTTTGACCGGCCGCTCTCTAGCCAGGGAGTCGCCCATGAACCCGTATTGTCCAGCCTTCTGGCCGCCTTCGCAAACCACGTGGCCAGTTCCATGTGCGGCAGAGCCGCTTTCAGATGCCTGGGGAGTGCTGGGATTGTTTGGCACTTCTCCCACGCGTTGTGTTTCTGCCTGCTGTCATCCCCCTGCCCCCCCTTCTCCTGCTTTTCTGCCGCCCTTCCTCGTCCCCCACTCTCGGCGGCTGCTTATTTGTGCCAGGCTGGGGTTTGCCCGGTATGCAGCCTTGTACTTGTCTGCCTGTGTGTTCCTCCCCCTCCTCCTCCTCCTCCTTTCTTCCTCCTTCCCCTCGCCCTCCCCCTCCATCGTGGGTGCTTACTTCGAGCTGGACTGGGGTGTGTCTGGCGCGCAGCCTAATACTAACCAGCTTGTCTGCTCCTCCCCCGAGTCCGGGGTTATTGCAGGTTTTTGCTTTCAGCGCCTTGCTGTCGTCAGTGGTTGGTGGAGTTGTGGTGACTTCTACCCGGCCGGCGGCTGTAAGTCACGGCCGTTATAGAGTTCAAGCCTACATCCATGGGGTGCGTTGATAGTCCTCACGAGGGGCAGCGGATTTTTCTGATGCTAGACGGGCATCGTGTGCTTGGGTTCTGCTGTCGAGTTCATTTGCGTTGAAAAGAACACATGGGTTCGGTCATTTCATATGATGCGTCACAGCGTCCAGAGAATACCCGACGGATTCAACAACATGATCACGCATTTGGTCCCATTCACCGGGCATCGATTCCACGGAAAGCTATTACAAGTTCTGATAAGGTTCGGTATGTTGATGCAGTGACATGTTCGAAGTTATTCCAACAGGTTGAGTTGTGGCATTGGCCAGGCGAGTTCAATGAGAAGCGTACTCATGCAGCTTAGATGCGATCTCTTCGCACAGCGATTGGCATGACCCACGCAGTGCAGAGCAGCGTCCAGTATAGTGATATTCAATTTTATATATGGCCAGGCGGGTGGGCGTGGACTGCATACGACGGATTCGGAGATTCTGATACTTTGACAGGTTCATCTACCATGGCCCGCGGACGCTTCATGCTGTTCTCGATATTGGTGGTCTACACGATACATGGCTTCGAGAAGTGATGGATGATCTGCAATGGTTTACCCTGACTGGTGTTGGTAGCTTTCATCCTGAATCCGTGCCGGCTTGGGTTGAGTTCCTTCGTCGTGGTTCTCGGCATTCTTCGGACATATGCAAGTTGGGATGGGAGCGGTACGTGGCATGGCTTCTCGATGATATTGGTGTCCAGGTGTGGCAGCTTGCCCTTCGAGACATCCTTCCACCTCCACCTGTTCCTCTTGCCGAACATGTTCGGAATTTATGCTACGAGGGTGGTGTCACTTTTTCTTCTACCAGGGCGTGGAGGGCACATCGTACCAGCGTACATGGTCTTCCTAGTGATGCACGTTATTACGCCAGGGGCAGCGTCTGTCAGGATATATATATATATATATAGATCACCATAAATATCGTGGAGCCGACTATCATGATACGGTGCGTATTGTGAGTGGCCCTATGGACGAGGATGCGGTTCAACAACTTGATGAGGTTGATCGCGAGGAAGTGGCCAAGCTCCGTGCCGATGGATATGGTGAGTCGACAGCTTTACAACCCCCATTTTGAGGACTCTTGTGGCGCAGTGGCCGACGGGGTGTAATTGATGACCCTCCTGCACCTCCAGAGGTAATGGTACCTGTTGCCCCGCGCGTGCGACTTCAAGAAAGTATCAGTATGTTCGGCGAGAATGACGGTGCCGAGGTATGGTTGTTCTTTGATAGTGAACACAATGATTCAGGTCATGTTGATGGTACCCGTTCGACCTTGGTGGGCATTTGGACTATTCAGTACATTGACCTTCGTAAGTTCGACATTGTGGACGTCATCGCTCGTGGCCAGGTCAAAATTTTGTTTTCTAGCTGGGCCACATGCGATGTTCATGGGTATGCGCGGACGGTGGCTTCTGTCAATGAGAGGGCGGTGAGAGGTTTTATTTGTCTGTAGCACATAGCCAAGATGAAGGGGGGTGTATATTGGATATTTGCAGCAGTTTGCACATGGCCGATTATTGGACAGTTTGGGTCACGTGACATTACTGGTGGAATGTTGGCGGTCTTCTGCGATGACGATGCCGCAAACGAGGACTACGTGTGTCGCAGATGGCATGATATGGCGGCTTCTTCGTGAGCAGGTCTGCGCGGTCTTCCTGTACTTCGTGTTGGAGGCGGCGCTCTGGCTGCCGCTGGGCTGGGGGGGGCAGAATTCAGCCCCTGGAAGTCGCACCCCCTCAGTTCACAGTGGGTTCGGGACGGCGGACGCTGAGCTGTGCCGCAGCTGCGTTCGTGGACCGCGACGTGGTGCCCGTCGGGACGTTGGGGATTAACCAGCTCGCGGCGTTCGAGGCGCCGAATGGGGAGCCGTCCGCCTGAGGGCGGTGCGGTTGGCCAGCCCCCCACGGAGAGCAGCGGGACCCCCCCTCCATGGGCCCAACGCTCGGCGGGGGGTTGTGGTGGCAGCCCTCGTTGTCCGTCGTCGTCGCCTTCGTTCGTTACGATTTTTCTGAAAGGAGGAGGAGAGCACGTGTTTGGCGACGACGACGGTTCGGGCGCGGCCGCGGCGATCGCGGGCGCGCTCCGGCGTGGCACACTTCGGACAAGGGTCCGCCAGCGGGAGCGCAGCAGCAGCAGGGGAAGGAAGGGGGGAGGGCGGAGGCGGAGGAGAAGAATGAGGAGGAGGAGGAGGAGGAGGAGGACCATCCCGAGTTCTCCAGGGTGCTTTGTTGAGGCTGGCCTTGGCTGCTTACCCTCAGGGGCGGCCCGTAATCCCAAGCCTCGTTGGGGGTACCGCAACGACTTGTTGCAACAAGCGCATGTGTATGGGAAATTCCGCCGTACCTACGCGCTCTCCCATAAGTAGTTGCGCGCCCCCTTCCGATAGCGGCACTACTTTTCCAAAGCAGCGCAGACTTGGTTGGATACAGGTAGGGGTGTGCCACATGCGTGCGCACTGGAGCATTTTACACACAGACCATGTGTTCAAACATGCGTACGCGTATACAATCATGTGTGTGTACTGGCGCACACGTGTGATGCGGTGATGTGCCGTCCGTCCTCCCTTTTTTTCCTCCATGTGCGGATCTTTCCATGCCCACGTCACGTGTCAGGTGGGAGTTGTTGTCTGTCTGCTGATCTGGATCGGCACAGTCGTCGTAGTCTCAGAGCCAGGGCGCGACAAAAACGCCAGGGTTTTCAGCAAAAACACGGTCACGGCAGTGCACCCCTGTCGGCATGTTTCCTTCCACTTCGCGCCGCGCGCCCATGGCAGTTAGGAGCTGGGGCGATGGAGAAAGACACGTTTGGGTGGGACTGTCCGCAACTTCGGGGCTTCGACTTGGTCGACGACGACGACGACGACGACGACGACGAGGGTGTCCTCATTCTCCCCCGCCTCCCGTGGGACAGAGGCCGCGTCGGCGCACGCCAGCCCAGTCGCCGCGCCGCTGTTTGGGCTGCCTGCTGGACCGACGGGAGCGGGGGGGGGGGGGGCTAGACAAAAGGGGCGGGTGGGCAACGAGCCGCAAGTTTATATGGTTGGAGGAAGGCAGAGGAGGGAGGCGGAGGCCCGAGTTTCGGGAACTTTCAATGTGCTGGCCCTCTTCGGGGCTCTTGACGGTCTCCGGATGCTTCGGGGAGCCTCGAGATGTCTGGGGGCCTCTGAAGACCGAGGAGAAACGTGTGCATACAAAGGAAGAGGCCGGGAGGGAGAAGGATAAAGGCAGACAGAGAAATTTGTAGATATTGAGCGAGAGAGAGAGAGAGAAGCAAAAACAAAGAGAAAGAGAAAGAGAGAGAGAGACGGAGAGCGAAAGAGGGACAAGGGAGGGGAAGTGAAGCGAGGGGGGTAACAGAGAGGAGAGGAGGAGAGAGGGGAGGAAAAGAGAAAGGGTAGGGGAAGGGGGGATAGGAGTAGAGGCAGAGGAGACTTGGAGCGGGATTGAAGGTTTGAAGCTGGGGCTTCTGATCCCGAATTGCCTCTCAGCACGGACGCAAACCATTATCACACGTCCGCGCGTTATCTGAAAGGTTGTGCTGTGCCATCTGCCGTTGGCCCCCCAGGCTGATCCATCCAGTGGCTATATAGGGAGATGTTCGTGGCCAGCCTGAGGCTTGAGGCCCTTCTGGGACATTTTGGGGGCCTGTGGGGCCACCTTCAGGCAATGTTGGGCTGCCTTGGGACCCCATTCTTCGCAGTGTGTTAGAGCCTTGTTGGGCCATCATGTGCGATTGAGGCGATACGGTCAGGAACGTTCGCGTAGCCTGCCGCTCCGCGGGTTCTGGACCACCACGCCTCGGCACCACACGTTATCCACACCCCCACTCCCGAGTGTCAACGCCCCGAGCTGCTCCCAGCCTCCCGCCCCGCAGAGCGGAGCGACACGCCATCCACTCGCAGGGCAGAGCGTGTCGCCAGGGCCACCGCCGCGACACGCTATGCAGAAGTTCCTGACCATGGATTGAAGCCTTTGGTGGCCACCTTGGGACTGTCTTGTGGGGGCGTCTGGGTCATCGTATAGAGGCATCCTGGGGCCATCTCCGGCCGTCTCAACCCATACCTTGCTCCTTTTTATCATCCCATCATTGCTAAACCTCCCCCTCTTCTATGTGGAGGAAGTGAGAGAGTGCTTCCCAGCGGCTGCTGCGTCGTTTTCGTCAGATCGACAACATGTTGGCCCCACCATCCTCATCCTCCTCATTCTCTGCATCCTCATCTTCATCCCCCTCCAACCGGCCCTCATCTTCATCCCTGCTCCGCCCGCTTCCCTATCATCCTTGTCCCCGCTCCCCACCCCTGCATCCTCCCCCTCCTCATCCTCCTCGCTGTCATTCCCTTCCCCTTCAATCCTTGCCCCTTTCGCCCCCAGACCCCATCCACCCCTTCCACTTTTTCAGGGGGGAGGGTGGGGCGGCGGCTGCCTGCAGCACAGCCTTGAGCAGCACCTTCGAGGGCACCTGCCAGACTCCGACATTCAGACGCCAGGCCTCTGAGCCGAGTCTCTGGTCCAACACATCGTTGAGCAGCAAGCGGCTACTGAGCTCGCCGAGCGGGAGCCACGGCGGGTTTCCCTTCGAGAATATATCGTGAACATGTGGCATATTGCCATTTCGTGGGGCCGTCATGGGAGGAAGATACAGAGGAGGAGGAGGAGGAGGAGGAGGAGGAGGAGGAGGAGGAGGAGGAGGAAGAGGAGGAGAAAAAGGAGGCGTCCTGGGGCCCTCGTAGGCCGCTGTAAGGCCGTACTCGACGTCTCTTGGGTTGTGTTGGGGCCCTCTTGGGGCCGTTTGGGTGACTTTGGGGGACTTGTTGGGCTCTTTTGGGCCATGCTGGGGCTATCTTGGGCGCCTCTTGGGCCAATTAGGAGTCATTTTGTTTGAAGGCCTCGTGGGCCGTCTTGGGTTGTCAGAAGGCCGACGACGAGAACGCCAAAATCAGTCAAGAAATTGATGATAAGTAATGACGTTTGCTTTGGGGGGCCCTTCTGGAGGGCCTCCTCGATCCACGTTGGGTCGTATTGGGAGCCTTTTGTGCCGTCTCGAGACCACCTTGGGCCTTATTGGTGCCATAGTTGGCCGTCTTGCACCTTTTTCAGGCCCCCGAAAGTCCCCAAGAGAATCCCTGGTCGGCTGGGAGCTGGGACGAGGCAGGCTGGAGCTGAGGTGGTGGGGATACGCGGGATCGCCTTCTGCCCCCTCCTCGCTTACTTAGCCTACTAGCTCACTCTCCTCGCTTTCGTCCCTTCACCCTCAGAACTTCTTGCATCGCCGAGGCGCTCCAGCGCTCGAAGGCTCCCACGCTGGGGGCTCGCCGTATGATTGATGCTTCGCGTACGGCCACCAGCCTGTGCAGAAACGGTTCCCAGGCGAGCTGTCTGTAGAAGGGAAGGGAGTCTGTCGGGGCTTTCTGGGAATTCCTCTGGTACGGGGTGGAACAGGGTGTGGAGGGGCGGTGGGGGAAGGAGGGGTCGAAGGGAGAGGGGGGGAGGACGGGGGAGGAGCGGGCGGGGGAGGGGGGCCAGGGCAAGGGGAAGAAGGAGGTTTGAAGAACTGGTTCTCTAACCCACCTACACCCAGAGGGTTGGTGGGACTAGAAGCATCATGCTGAGCAGCACGACAGTGCGCATCAGCAGGATATTGACATGCACGAGCAGGCCAGCAGTACGATTGCGAGCAGCAGCACGAGTCTGCGATCCGTCAGTTTGACGAGAAAGGAGTCGCACATCATCTCGGAGCAGCACGGTATTGACATCCACGAGGGGAACGAAGAGCGCCTCGTGAAATATTCTGTGGTGCAGCACGACGGCAAATTACCTGCAGCAGTGCGGTGCGCAGCTAGACAGAGCGCAGCGAGCACCACGGCTCTCAGTACTGCGTCGGCGAGTGGCAGCACGACTCTGACATTCACCGTTGGGATGAGCCATGTTTCGAGCACAGTGGTTTTGAGCAGCACAGCGGGCACCAGCAGCACGACGTGGAGCAACATGACGGAGAGAAGCATCACGACTCTTGCACCCACGGTTGGGGCGATGGGTTTCCGCAGAATTGCATTGAGCAGCATCATGGGAGCAACGGCGCAGATTTAGTTTCCGCGATCGCACAACTGTTAGCGCAGGGAGCAGCACCGGTGCCTCAAGTGCGACTTGCACTAGGAGTACGACGAGCATCAGCAGTACAACCCAGAGCAGCACTGGCGATACCATGAGCTCCGCGGCTTCCATTGCGCCGTGACCCTCTGGCACCACTCGTAGCCACTTGTACTAGACGGGAAGAGTCACATTGGGTGTGCAACGCGAGGAGAGATCCCTGAGTTTGGGATGGGTGGAGCACGCTGCCACCGGGGACGTCGGCTTACACCCCGCCACCGAGGGCAACTTATATGAGGACTCACCTATCTCTGGCGAGATGGGTGATTGGGCTACGCGAGCGTTCCTCGTGCTTCCCTCGAAAAGAAGGAATTGCATAAACATCAACTTTCGGCGGTCCGCGCGGATTTCTTGGATTGGCGGTAGATCCCCCTCCCTGGCGCGCCATGGGCGGCGCCGGAGGCGCCGCCAGAGCGCCCCAGCGCCGATCCGAGGAATCCACCCAAATCTCCTGA